GTTTCCTTTCCTCATCTTTTGGGCTGAAGGGTAATGACATCCTCTCTGATCCCCCCACCACCCCCCCGCCACTGCCCTTGGTTACAAACCCCAGTATGGTACTGTCACTTATAGCTTCCTACACTTTGCTGGCCCCCTTGTACATAGTCCCTTTATCAAACACTTCTGGACCCAGACAGATAGAGTGGTTTGGGGGGCTCATGATCAGCCTTACTCTGTCACCCCCACCATTCCTGAGGACCCCTGACCCCTGAATAGGCAGCTGTCTCCCATTGTCTTTACCCTCTTTTGATCCTTTTCCGAATTTGGGCATCCTGAAGAAAAAAGGTCTATTTCATTATCACTGATAGGTTTTATACCAATTGATAGAATCAATGACTTTTGCACTAGTCATTGTTTTACACTGTTTTGAAATTAACTCAAGCAAAGGAAGTCCTGGTGTGTACTTTTTAGTGTGATTATCTCATTCATACAGAAGAGGATAGAAAATGGGTATGTGCAGTTTTTGTGATCGTAATCATGATGTGTCCACCAACTAGGTTAAGAAGAAACTGTGATCACTATAGTAGACCTCTATGTAGTTCTCTGTAGACACACCTTCCCCCTCCCCATTCACCCCTGCTGGGAGGAAACTGCTATCCTGATTTTCCTGTTATCCATCTCCCTGCTTTTCATTTTAGTTTTGAGATATGTCGGTATAAAGAACACATTCTTCGATTTTGAAGAACCCAAGAGCAAGCACAAAGCTAGGTGTGTAGGAATGCTCAAGACAGCCCCGCATGAAGATCGGAGACTGGACTGCCCTCCTGCAAGTTGTGGAGACCCTTTCTGGTGGAAGTCAGTGCACAGTCAGGAGCATGTCTAGGGAAATGTAGAACTCACCGGATTTGAGGCACTGGCAAGGCTGTATTGTGGGCCAGAAGGAATATGGTCAGTGGGTCATTGTGTCTGAACTCCCACTCACTGGACTCGAACAGAGCAAAGCAGAACCCTTCTGTGGGTT